CTGCTTGTCACTGTCCAAAACGTAAGTTTCAAAATGATGTACGGATTATTGGAGTCCTGCTGGATTGGTGCCACAACCTAATCAATGGTTCTGGTTCTGTTTGTCAATAAATGATTCCTATGCTACTGTTTAATGAAAGCACGAAGGTTGTTTATTGACTAAGAGCCTGAGCAGTTGACAGTTATCTCACTATGGTTTAGGAATTAGATTTAACTCTGAAAAGATTTGACCATGCTGCTGTTGCTGGAAATGGTTGTACTAGAACAATATTGTTAGAATTTAAAGGTATGTAGCATATAACGGACCATTGTAACTTTTTTGTAATTTTACATTTTCTTTACTTGAATTGAAAAGTTTGAAGTAATGGAAGGTGGAAAGAATCAATAGTACATACTAAAAGCTGGCATCATTTTCTTATTCCTTCATGGTACTGAGGAATCTCATTGTAACTCGGTCCTGTGTCCAATAGATTAGAGGTTGAGTTATAATTCGAGTTTAAAAATGTCCAGAGGTGGTCAAAGACACTGGGAGAAATAGACTTTTTTTTAAAACTTATGTTGCTCTGTTTAACTATGTTTATGATTTTATTGTAAGTAAATCCAAGGTACACTACTTTTTATCTCCCTTTATTTTTAGAACATTATATTCCTGAAAATGGTACATTGTTATGAACGTGTTAATTATTTTTCTTTACAACTTGTCTGGATTCCAGTGGTACAGAAAATAAATACTCTTGTTTGTTTTATTACTGACCGCCTCCTCATCTGGGCAGTCAACTCGGCCTTTTGTGTTGCCATACATTTTTCTTAAATGAAAATTGAACGAAAAACCTATGAATTACTACTTGATTAGGAGATGTTTAAAAAGCACTATTTCTGTTCTGACCATCTGCTATTTTGTATAATCCATATACTTTGGACCAGAGATGCACAGATGGTGAACCTGAGTACAAATTCAAACCTTTAATACTTTTCTTCCCTCCAGAGAATTGCTTGGTATACAGAGAGATTTCGGCTTAATTTCACACTTCCACTCTCATTTTCTGTTTACTTCACACCCTCTTCAACACTGGGGAATTGTTTTTCAAATCTCACCTATAATGTGTTTCCTGAGTAATAGGTTTTAGTTTAACAAGCTAACTAATTGCTTCCCCAGTGCCTCAGTTGATATAGATGCTAGTGTGAAAATGGGTCGTCCAGGCTTGGAAGTGCCCACGTTAGATTCCTGATCTCAGCTGAGTTATCAGTTGAACAGTAAAAAGCAGTAGTCACTGCAAGTAGCTTCAGGGTTCCTGTTCGTGTGACTCATGTTGTGAAAATGTGGGTGCTGGTGAGGGTAGCATCAGGCAATTGTCTCCTCTTCCATGGTTGAATAGCTTGGCAATACTTGCTGTCAAAGTTCACATCTGAAGAATGGCCACACGGTGAAATTATTAGGTGGTCAATGCCCTGGAACCTTAATCCAATATAAATCACCTTTGGCAAGTGAAAACAAAGGGAACAGGAAATAACTTCTCCTTTCATTAATGTTAGAAAGTGTTGAATTCATTCAAAAAAACTATTTATTTGTCGCTATAATTATTGTTTTAACTAAACAATTGAGCCACGTTTGTTATGATGTGACTTTATTGTGAGTTTGTTGCTGTTATCCATTTCAACAAAGTTTGTCGTAGACACCCTCAATTTTCAATTAAGGGGGATAATTCAAATCTCAAGGAATGCAATAAGAGACTGAGACCATTAATGCTTTCTTCTAAGAAAAATGTTTTTGTAATGGTTTTAACCTTAATTTTAGTATTCTGCAAATTGTATGTTAAATTTGTTAAACAATTCTATTTCAGCTTTTTCTCTATCTTTTTCTCTGTTGACATTTCTGAGTGAAAAACAGGACTTGTTCATTGGATAAGATCATGACCCAGTGCAGCACACAGCCATATAAAGCAGAAGGGCACAGGTTCAATTCCCAGGCAGTGATGAGATATCTAAATTCAGTTGGGATGTTCCAATTAGCCTTTTGCCCTTGGATTAGGGAGGAGCAAAGCCAAATGTGTTTCCTGAACTTGATTGTTATCCAGTGACTCCTTCTAGACCAACACATCTGTGGCCATTATGTGAGGACAGAACCGGGCACAGGTGCAGTGCCTTTCGCAGTTAAGCAGTCTAAGTTAGCACACAATGAATGGCCACTTGAGCATGAAACCAGAACTTAATCCCAACGTGCATCAGTAACTCATGGAAGAAGTGAGCAAATTGGATGGGGAAAAGGGGTTGAGAAATTAAAGGGTTGAAAAAGAGGGCTGAGAAATTAAAATGAAATAAAGAGGAACAACAACAACAAATTATATACTTTCACGTCAGGAGGACTTACTCTGTTAGAATGCAGCAGTAGGGGCCCATAAATTTTCAATTAGCAGTGTAACAAGAGGAGATTGGTAGTCGTTGCTTCCGCACTCACTACACATGCACATGGAATGAAGCCCAACTGCATCAGTGTTTCAAATCACAGTCTAACGCACACAAGCCAAAGTGATGAATGTCTAGTCATCATCGCAAATACAATGCGTGAAGTAACATTGCTTTTTTTTTGCGTGGTTTCCATGTTATAATGAAGTACCTTATAACGAAGTTCTACTGTACTGTGAAACACTGGGGCAACTCATAATTATAATGACAGGAAACGTGAAAATTAGCATTTTGCTCAAGATTAGCATTATGTTAGATCACTAAATAAATATCTGACCAGATTTAGTGTTTGTAAATTTACAATATAAAAGTTATAAAAGCCACCAGTGAACAGAAATGTATATATCCTTTCATCACATTGAATTTTCACTATCCTTTTTGTATATGATTCGACAGTGAGTATTGACAGGATACTGCCAGGTGGGAGGGGGAGATGGTACTGCAGCTACGCCTAGTTCTGTTTTCTATTGAAGTTCACAAATGAATTTTCCTGACAGACTCATTTGAAAGTCATCAGTAGCAGAAACTCCCATCTGATTTATTTCCTCTTCTAGATGCGCCACCACCATATTGGCTAAAATCAGTAAGAACTTCTGTGTGCCTCTGTCTTAAAAAAAATCCTCTATCAAAAAATTCCACAATGCTCAAAAAAATCCTCTCTCTTACATGTGCTCCAATCCTCCTGCTGTTCCTCCTCCTCTTCATCATCATTCTCCTCTTCCCCATCCCCAGGCACCGATATCAGGAGAGCTAATGAGAAACCTATGACATCAAGCAGTCAAGGATGTTGACCTCAGCAGCATCGTCTGCTCATTTCTAAATGTTCTCTTCAGCCGAGCCTTCTGCTCCCCTCTCGACTCTCTACCCCCTCCTCGCTCCCTCCCCTCACCCTGACCATTTCCCTCCTGCTCGGGTCCCGACCCAACTGTCCAGCGCCTTGGGACGTCTCCCGACTTGAAAGGTGCTCTATAAATACAATCTTGTTGTTGTTAGTCATATCAAGGGAAAGATGTTCACCATGTGTGAGCAGTTACAGTCTTGTTACAATATGATGCCAATGTAAGGAACAGGGAAATAGAAATGTGTTAGAATAGAAGAAGGGAAGGGAGGTAGGAGAGGAACAAGTGTGAGTGAGTTTGAAAGTGAGTGTTAAGAGTGAACTAAAGAGAAGAAAGAGTGGTGCCTTAAAGGATGATACAGGGAAAAGACAAAGGTATAAAGGGCATGAGCAACTAAGTGGTGAAGCGGGAAGAATGAGTGTGAGGGAAGAGTCAGATGGGAAAGAGAAAGCGAGTATGAGAGAGTGTGAAAAAGACAGAGAGGGAACAAGTCACATAGAAAGAATGGGAAGAGATAATGTACGGTGATGGGTATAAAAACAGAGTGAGATGCACAGACACAACAAGCTTGCAGAGAAACAGGATAGATATAGAGTGAGTGGCAAAGATGAGAATTAAGGGATAGAAAAGTAGAAACACATGTTGGCAAATTGAAGAGTCCAATTCGCAAACTATAGTTACATGCTACTAACAGCTCCCTCCTACTAACCTTTGTTCATCGATAAACCTTATTCTCTAACTGGGATCGCCCACTTTACTAGTTAATTAGTGAATAAAAATTCATAACATTTCTGCCACATGGATCCGGTATTATTGATTTACTAACTCGTTTTTGAAAGTAATTAGCTAACCAACGTAAAAGCCAATCGAAGACTACAGAATAGCATTTCAGACAACTGAAAAGTTGAAACTAACCACATATCTCTAAGAGCTTTATTTTTAATCTACATTAACAAACACAGCAAGGGAAGTTTTTCAGTCTCCTTGAGAAATGCAAAGCACTCTGTATACTGCAATGTTCCTTACTTTGCATACTATTAATTTTTGTATTGCTGAACAATCCGTTGCAATTTTCTGTAAAATATTTTGAGTATTTAATAAAGTATTTCATGTTGCAAGCAAAGACCTATTGTGTTAATTTTGCTATGAGCATGAGAAGGGACTGCTATTGCAGTAGGCTGTGAAAGAAGTTGAGCATTTCTAGGGTTAATGTGATAAACCGAAGAGAATGCAAAAGGAAGAGGTTGTGATAGGTTCCTGCACTCAAGTTGCTCTTTCTGTCATTTGTGGTTCAGAAGGAGAGGGCTGGTGGTGTTCAGCTTTGAAAAAGGGTTTAATGAATGCTGGCAGTGATTTTGAAAGCAGCTGTGGTCGGAGTGTAGAGGGCAATGCAAAGTGCGTTGAGGCATTGACTGTTGTAGTTTAAGCTGATTAAGAGTTGTGCTTGATTGAGGACACAGCCTCTTCCCTGTCTCTTCATCACATTATTCTCATCATCCTTGTCATTAGTTGATGTTCTGATAGCGAAGATTTAAGAGGATTTTATTTCCATGTGAAAGCAGTCTTGTTTCAGTCAGCCAGAAGCAGCAGTCTAAGAGGACATCTATATAGACTTGGGTGTACTACATAGAGCGCTGCCTTGTAGTGCAGCACAGCTTGCTTGCTCTGTTGCCTTGACAATTGCTTAGGTGAACAGAGAATGTCTGTTTCTCGTAAGGAGTTTGATGTGAAGCAAATTTTACGCATTCGGTGGCGCTGGTTCGGTCACCCTCCATCTCCACCTGCCACGTCCAGCGAAAGTCGACGGGGGGATTTTTGGGACCAAGGGCAGAGTGCCTCAAATACTGAGAGGAAGTTCTTAGATCCTGGGAACCTCCCTCTACCACTAGCATCTCTCAGCTACCGGAGATCCAGCCGACAGGAAGTCCCAAATTCACCACTTGGCAAACTTCCCATGACCCAGATCTTCCCTCATTTGAGTTTACGGATGAAAACTGTGAGGGTGCACATTGCCATGACAAACATGAAGCCGAGGATGAAGGGAGTGAAGAAGAGAATGACACAGACAGCAGTTTCTGCAGGTTAGGTTATAGAATTTCAAATGGGACAACATCAATAATGCTATTGATGTCCATTATTTTCCTTGGTATTCTGATAATGATTTTACTGTAGCATATTTTCAACAAACGTTTTCAACATTAAGATTATTTTATTCTGTTAACTTCTATCGTATTAAATGATTTAAATAATTTAAGGTAAGTACATGAACTTTTTATATCCTGTAAATAAAATGAGATAGTCAGACGATCAATAAAATTTGACTTATAAATGTACAATGATTGATTGTGAAATCTATAGTATATAGAATAGTGATTGTTTATTACCTGAAACACTAAAAGGTCAAAAGCATAAGGTAGTTCGTTAGTAATACCTTTGCTGCATTAATATCTTAATATGCAATGTGCTGTCATACTACATTTCTGCTATATTGTCCCCCTTCATGCAGCACAGAATACATTTACACATTGGTGAATTGAAAGACATGATTGTCTAAATGTTGTCCAGAAATATTGTATATTTTACCAAAAACATTTTTAAAAATTGCAACTACCGGTGCCAACAGTTGTCAGGAAACAGTGTCTTGTTAGTGTACTATTCTTGCAGTTGTCTGAGATCTTACTGCTACATTGAGATCAAAAGAGGTTGAGATGGGTATATAGTACAGTCATTTCTGTCATTATGCTACATATTGCCTCTTGTATTCCAGTTGTCATATATAATCTCATATTTTGCAATGATTTTAAAAATGTAGCATATACATATAAAAATAATACTGGGATTTCAAATGGTATTTAAAAGGAGCCGTAATACCAGCAGACATACTGATTACTTTTATTTTAACATCATTCTTAAGATAATAGCAAAAATATTGTTAAAAAACATTTTCTATTTGAAATTTTGTTATCTGCTGTAATTTTGATTTTTCTGCCGTTAAATGTTTATCAGGTTGTAGCATATAGTAGCCAGTTGGGAGTGAAACCAGGAAGCATTTTTTCACACAAAGGGTTGTGGAAATTTAGAATTCTCTCCCCCAAAAGCTGTGGATGCTCAAATCAATTGAAATGTTCAAGTTGAGTAAGGGTATCAAAGGATGTGATAGGTAAGGGTATCAAATGAAATGGAGAAGGGCAGGTAAATTGAGTTAATGTACAGGTCAGCCAAGATCTAATAGATTGGTGGAACAGTCTTGAGGGGCTGAATGGTCTACTCCTGTTCCTATGTTCCTAATACAAATATATTGTGTATCTTTTGAATGAAAACAATTTTGAGGAAATTATTATGGTTGATTTAAAAAAAAATCTTTGGTTGTAATCAGCTCGGTGCATGTAAAACTGTGTTGGAATTTTCATTTGGGTTGTATTGTCACTTGGTAGAATGATAGTTTTCATAGTGATAAGGGTACTTGTCTTCCCTAAAAGGGAGGATGATGATGAGTAATTTTGCTGTTTTAAAGAGGAAAAGATCTTATAAATGGACCATATAATTATCATGAGCCAGTCTCATTCATGTGGAAACAACACATTAATTTTTTTATGACAGACATTTTTACCACACACATGAATATGTTAATAAACCATTTTATAAAAACTGTAATGTTATTTTAATAGTTACTGGAATATAATTTCAATAACCTTAGAATAGTTTCACTATGCATGGAAGCATTCCTTACTTGAAATTAAATGTTTCATATTTCATGCCTAAAACCATTTTAAACCATTAATAAATCCTGTAATATTGATATTGAAGCAGTATGAAAGAGAATATTTGGTAAAATATTTTGAAACTGGCATAGAAAATATCACAGCAAAATTATTGTAGCACAGCATTGTGTGACAAATCTATTTATGTTAATCTTTTTAAAAAAACGTAGTCTTGTGCTTTGTTTACTGTAACCTGTAAATATTTAGCAATTCCATCCAGATATATTATCATCCCAGAAAGTTGATGGCAGAATATTATTCAATTTATTTAATGTCAGAATTGATTTAGTTGGTGAGTAAGTCACACAGTAAAAAAAATTAAAATAAATCAGTTACAATTTAAAGCTACAAATAAAAAGCTGTTACGACAGAGTGAATCATTGTTATATCCTCAGTTTCAGGCACTACTAATCGGTGCCCATTTAATCATTTAGTAAAACAGTTTGACTCGCACTTTTATAGAACCAATATAATATAATATATTCAGCAACTTAATTGTAATTTAGGTTCCATCTGCTTGTTTTAGTGTTTTTTTAATAAGTTTTTCCTCTCTTGGTCTAATCCATTTTTGATATCCTCTTGAATGAAGTGATATCTCTGTGACGTGTGGTGGCATGTATTTTGTATTTATCAATACAGCATATTTATAAATACAAAATACATGCCACACACGTAACACAGATATCACTTCATTCAACAGAGCGTAGAGTCAAATTATGTAGGAACAAATTGTGGAGTATAAATGAGCATGCACAATATTTGTGTGTGTGCACTTTAGTTATGATAAATTTATTGAGTCAGTTATACAAAATGCCAAAGGGCAAATCAGACATGAGTGGGTGAGGAAGCTGCAGGAGGAAGGGGGTAATTGAAGCATGTGTGCCTTTTAGCTTGCTTCCTAGTTTTAATAAATCCACTCCATAATGTAAGGGTGACTCCTCCTTGAAACAGGAGATAGAAAATGTCAACACTGAGCCCAGATTAGAAACAGAGTATAAACATAAAAATGGTAATAGACAGGATCATCTTCATGCTGTTGTTCCCTTTCTGAAATAACTTTTTTAATCAGATAGCTAAACCAGATCTTCATGGATTGAAATCAACTCTTTAGCTAACAAAATGTTTCCTGTTTTGCAGTTCTTAGGTAGTGCTTAAACTGTTATGTATCAGTGTTTTGGTTCACCTGATGATTTGAAGGTAAAATATTTGAGGGAAACCGTTGCATATTCAAATAAATTTGCTATATTGTACACTTGCTATTATTACTTAACATACTGAAACTGTGAATTTTGATTGATTACAGCTAAAACTGTTACTGTATCATTGCTTAAGCTATATTATGCATTGTCTATCACTTCTCTAATTCTCTAAGATATTCAAAGTCTCTTACGATTATTATCTTAACAATTTAGATAGATTTTGCTGAATTTTGGAAATTCCATTCATCTTAAGTTGAAAGCCAATTTTCTTTGCTTATTTTGGGTATTGTGGTAAATTGGCTTGTAAATTAAATTTGAATTTAAGCATTTTCCTAAAATTCCACATTGGGGATGCAGGAAAGAGCAAGACCAAGTTGTCTTGAGTTTATAAGCTCATGTGGTTCCTCTTGTTATTTCATTCCTAATTAGCAAATGGATTATTTAATGGATACTGGATGCCACTCTAGGACAGTTACGGGTTAGTATAAGTGCACAGCCCAATTTATAGTTGAGGTTCAGACTATTGACTGAATTCTCCTAATAAAGCAGTACTGTTACTGGAGCTCTATATTTTACATGCCATAATTTGTTTGAAGTACCGGTTTGTTGAGAAAACAATGGACTTCCTTTGATGGACTTCTTAATGTTATTAAAACTTACTCTATGTGGCAATAGGGGAATGTACATGTAGGGTAGAAGAGACAGAAAAAAATGAAACAATGTCATCATTACAATACAAATTTATATTTATATAGCGCCATTCATGTTGGGAGCACATCCCAAGGCACTTGACAGTCCTGGCTTGGCACCCGAGCTAGAAGAAGAAATCATATTTTATTGCTATTATGAGCTGCTGGGAATCTACCAAATCATTTTTCAACTTGTCTCAAAGCCATTCATCTGTCGTAAGCTGTCACAGAGTTGGTCCATTATCAATCCTGGGTATAAATCAGCAGACACCAAGACCTGAAAATATGGCATTTGTACTGATCATCAATATGATTACAACTCGAACAATAAAAAATGCTGATTACAATTTGAACAATAAATTTAGTTTTTTAACGAATGCTTATCCAAGTCTATATATGCAGTGCCAATGGATAATGTACAATCTTTTTAGTGCACAGTATACGACTGCTCAGCGGATCAATTGTATGTGTAAACCATATGTAAACTTGCACCTGAATTAATGCAGCACATCCCCAGCACTGTGTGTATCCACCTCTCATAGCATTCTCATCTCAAAATATTGTAGATTCAAGCCCCATCTCAGAACTTGGAACATGTAATAGTGTATGCTGATACTTCAGTGCATTACTAGAAATAAGCTGCATTGTTAGGAGTCCTATCCTTCGGATGAGACGTTAAACTGAGGTCCTTTCAGATGGATGTTAAAAACCCCATGGCACTATTCAAGAAGGGAGGGGCGGGTACTCTCGGTATCCTGGCAAATAATCCCTCGATAAAACTGATCAATCACTTATAGCTGTTTGTAGGTCCTTCCTGTGCACAAATTGGCTCCCATGTTTGCCCATACACTCCACTTTGCAGTATGTCCAGCTTTGAGACATCTTCCCGATATGAAAGGTGCTATTATAATGTTGAAAAAAATGTTATGATCTATGTACCTGTAATTTAGTAACAGTGGTCTGTATTGGCCACCAACTACAATCATTCACTTCAAAATTTGGAATGAAAACTAGTTTTGTTATGATCTTACATTTATGCAATTTACAAAAGGTGCTCTGCTGTTATACCACCCACGACACCTATGCCTCAAGTGAGGGGAGGGGAGTGACTGAAGCTTCATGTGCATTTATACTGCTCTTACACTAAGTGTAAATGGGATGACATTCTTGGTTCTCGATCTGTTCAAACACATTTAGTTGCATATCCTATTTCCTCTGAGTACAGGAGATCCGACTTTATAATCAACAATCAGCAAGTCAGAATGTAGATCTGATGGCTTTCTGCACCTGCCTATAGACTCAGGGAGGGTTGCTCTTCCTGTGAGCAATCAAATGATTGCCGTCCAGGTAGTTGGTTGGAGTGGAAATATTTCATTTGTGGGTAATAGAAAGTGGCATTCTGGTTGCACTGGAATTGGTTTGAAGGGCTCTGAAGGATTTAATTACTCCATTGTCAACAAGCTGGAAGAGAACTCTCTGAATTTATTTTCTGTTGCAAATGTTTGTGGTTTGATTGGATGTGTCATAAATCTTTCCTATTTGTTTTATTGAATATTGCCAAGTATGGCTCATTTTCATTCATTTTTTAAGGTATGAAATACTTCTGTGAGACTTTGCAAATTAAAGTATGATGTTGGATCTAGCCATGTTAGTGTGTAAGATGCCAATCGCCAACTTGGCAATGTTTGATGTGTTTATAATGGGGAAATTCCACTCTAAAAGATGCAACAACAAATGTAATGCTAGTGATTGGCACGTTTAATTTCTGCTTGTGGATTATGATATTGTGCTTGTTCCAATTTGTTCATTTTTTGAGTTTTAAGTTTCTGTTTTGAAAAGTGAAGATCTGTGTGTGATGCATGTTGGTAGCATATGGAGTCAGATATATCTGTCAAATCTGAGGCTGCTGTTTCTAATCCCACCTTCTGAAATGAACAAATTGACTTATCTGGGATTACTGTGTGCGGCTGTTGATGAGGTCTATTAGCTGACTGTCCCTCGGTGATTGAACTCAAGATTCTCAATTTCAAAGAAAGTACTCACCATTCTTAAACTATCCTTTTTTCAATCTACGACTGTTTGTGGGACACTGCTGTGCGCAATTGGCTGCCGCGTTCGCCCACAAATATACAGTCAATTCACTTTACAGTGTGTTCTGTGAAGCGCTTTGGGACGTCCTCCCGACGTGAAAAGCGCTATATCAAATGCAAGGATTATTATTATTATATTATCCTGTCTATCCAGTCTTCTCTAGTCTTGTGACCTCTCAGCTCCTGTTTCCGTCTCGCTGTTGCACCACTGGAGACCAAGCCTTCAGACTCCCATCTCTTCTGAAAATCTCTCCCCAAATCCTTGCCTCTGCATTCAAAAAAAATCTAAGACCCATCCCATTGATTGTGACTTGAGGCAGCTCTACATTCAACCCATTTCTTACTTTGTGTTCATCAGCTGTCATTTTTTAAGAACCTTGAGAAGTTCTTTTAAACATATGGCACGATATAAAAGCAAATTGTTGGATGGTTGGAGCTGCTAAAGATAAATCAATTTTGAAGTTAAAAATAGATTTGATAGAAGGTACACACACACTCTGAGACACAGAGAGAGACACACATACGCACAGAGAGACACACTCACATAGAAACACTCACAAACACATAGAGGAGAGGGAGACAGACATATTCACACAGACACTCACAAACATAGAGAGACGCACACACAGAAACTCATAAACGCATATAATCCTTGCATTTGATTTTGTACTTTTCACGTCTTCTATACATCTCAAAGCCCTTCACAGAATATACTGTAAAGTGAATTGACTCTGTATTTGTGGGTGAAACGCGGCAGCCACACAGCACACAGCGGTGTTCCACAAGCAGTCGTGGATTGAGTGACCAAATTATTATTATTTTTTTTGAAGGATTACTATCCCCGGAAAAGCGATCCGCCAATCGACTAACGATCGGGTTCCTATTTACTGCTAGGTAAACAGAGGCACGTGGAGTAACGTTTCTCCCTGCCGGGAATCAACCCTTGCAAGGCGACTGCTCTAACCACTGAGCTACAGGAACCATACACTCATACACAGACATAGACACAGACAATCCTACACACACACAAACACTCAGTCAATCACAACAGCGGGGCCTCCGAGTGAAGCCCATTTGCTGCTTGCGCCGCACCACACATCGTGACGTCAGGTAAACAGCCGGGAGGCCCGCGGGCCAGAAACTACACTTATATTGGGTTTGTAGCGGATTCCGCGGAAAATGGGCGGCTGCACTTTTCGATTGGACCAGTTTATTAATCCTTTATTAATCACAGTTAATCCTGTCAGATATTGGTGGACAAGGCAATGGGGAGTGTGTTTGTTTATATGTGAATGGAGTACCTTATAGAATTGAGGGCTGTTCTGAAAATCCCCAGTGCTATGCGTCAGGGCACAGCTGTAGACTTTTCTTGGCCAATGACTGAATAGAATGTAGAAATCTGAGCAGAATGTATTTCAAGTTCCTATTGTTTTCTTAACATTTGCCAAATGTAGATTAGTTTGAATGGAAATCACTTTACTGCGGCCCGTTTTCTTGCCCACTGATTTGATCTCCAATTGTTATGTTTCCATATCCATTCCAGTTTTTAATGTTCTCTCCCCAAGCAAACATTATGTCCTGGTTCCAGGCATATTTTGGAATTAATCCAGGTGATAAGACTTTTATTTTGTCACACTCCAGTCTGCAGTCTCCACCAAGGACATCTCTATAATAACTTGCCAGGGATCAGGAGTCTTCTGTGCAATCCTGTATCTACCACAGTAACACCAATATGCTGCATACTTTATCTCTATGGAATTCTAGTTCATTTCTAAGGTTGGAAAAGGTTTTCCACATATTCATGTTAAATAAGTCCTCTTTTATCAGACGTTTGCCACTTTGTCAATTTTACAGCTATGAATATTATCTCAAAATATTTACGTTGATGAGCCCTATGCAAGCTGTACTGCACATGCTGCATGGACATTGAATAGTACACTAAAACGTCAGTTAAGAAGAAAAGATTTGAAAGTATTGTATTTTACCTTTTTGTTTCAATGTAGGGATAACCCCTGACAGCTGTATGCATCACACATAATTGCTAAATAGATTGTGGATTGTCATGCTGATATGAAAGGTATTACAGGAGGTGAAAGGTGCTGCAGTATTATGGTATTTCTCAGTAGTTTCGGGGGTATTTGCTTCAGGGAGCGATATTCTTCGGGCTGGTAGTATTCTGGCCAACAATCCCCCAAATAAAATTGGTCACCCACTCCATGGCTGTTTGTGGGACATTGCTGTGTGCAACTGGCTGCTACATTTCACCCACAAAATACATCGTCAATCCACTTTACAGGATATCCTTTGAAACATTTGAGACGTCTCAACGTCGTGATAAGGCGCTATATCAAATGCAAGGATTATTATTATTAATACAATAAGTATAGTTGTTCTACTGTGTAACAAAAACACAATTAAAATTTTAATCCAAGCTTTCTGATTCTATATCTGTAATCAAATTTTGAATGGTAGTGATATTAATTGTATAGTTTCTTTATAGCAGGGCTTCAAACAGCAGTCAGACTCTGTCCTCATGCCACACCATGGATACCTCTGCCCCCGAGGAATGTTTTCAGGCACTCAACCATGCTGAACAAACCTTCAAGAAGATGGAGAACTATCTTCGGCATAAGCAGCTTTGTGATGTTGTGTTGCTGGCAGGTGACCGGAGGATCCCAGCTCACAGGTGAAGAGAAAGTGTGCCCACACATTTGTTCTGTAATTTAAACCCTAATCCTGTCAGTCTGTCAGTCAGCTATTATTGGACTGTGATCAATAGAATATACCTAATATCTTAATGCTCTTTTCGGTGTTATTGTAATCAATGGTTCATTACAGAACATTAAACATTTGTTTAGGACATATAGGAATATTGTAAATATTTTACAATAAAGATTCTTATTGTAGATATTCAAAATGTCTCGCTGTTTTCTAGACTTTCCGATGTTTTGGCACTGCAAAGCCATTTAAACAATGCTGTATTTCATGACAGATACAATCTCTTGTATATATGCCAATCTAAAAAATATTCTATATTTATGTAGATTTCCAGTTTTCTTGCCATTGTTGAAAAACATATTTTACTTTTAAAGAAATCCCTCTTAATATAAATGAGGTGTGCATGCGCTTATTTGATTTTTTCACAAAAGAAGTTTAAACATCAGGTTCCTTTTTCCATGTTTTGCATGCTCCTCAGCCCATAAAGGTTTAATATTGTAAACTGTAGTACTCTCAGCACAATTCCCAAGATGAAAGATGGTGCAGTAGCGTAGGTGGACCTGAGTATAGAGTATAAAAGCCTAACAGAAGTTGTTTCTTCTATTTCCAGGTTGGTTCTCTCTTCGGTTTCAGACTATTTTGCTGCAATGTTCACAAATGATGTAAGGGAGGCTAAACAAGAAGAAATAAAGATGGAAGGTGTTGATCCAAATGCATTATGGGCATTAGTGCAATATTCTTACACAGGTAAATATGAAATAATTGACGCTAAGTAGTACAAATGTCTATCCCTGAAATCGTCTCGAAATCTTTGTGGAAGAATTTACAAATTAGAGGATATTTTTAGTAAATTGTTTGTTACGTTACTGATTTAGCTTGCTTCAAGTATCACATTTGTGCAGTGGAGGTAATCATTTTTATATTGTGTTCTAGCAAAGGAGATGTTGAACGAGTTACACTTTTCTCTGGTGAGTTCTGGTAAACCTTTAGACTTTACAGTGCACCCCAGAGAAAGCACTATGGAGGAACACCGTAGCATATAGTAGATGAAGTGCCTTCCTGATGGTTATTGGCATACAGTGTGGAATATGATTTCTGAGTGGTGCATTTTCAGTGATGATCTTGTTATTCGTTGGCACTTCCCTCCAACATGATACTCGCCTCAGGGTTAGATTCAGTCGACTTTGATAAAGATGACTCCTAAGTGGAATCAAGGACATCATTCAGTTAATACCCTTGGACTATACAATGCAGTGAAAGACCTCAGAGAAGCACAGAATAATTATGCAGTACAAGTGCAGCAGAGAAATAGGATGTTCATTTTTCTATGTACTTTCCAAAATGTTAGTAAGACAGACTTTATGAACACTATTTTCACACCAATATTGAATCACTGTTAAATAAAGTTATTACTAATCTGAAGTGGTGACATCGCCTTCTCCAAGAGAATTAAAGGTTTGCAACCGGGTCTTACCAACTAAGTCTTGTTTTGGCTTTCTTATTTAACTACTGTTCTGTTGACTGTTTATTGCATATTTTTACTTTTCATATCATTAGTGCATTTGCAATATTAATGTCAAAAAGGCAAAAATATCTAAAATTGTTCTTTTTGCAGTTTTACAAACTCGCACATTATGAGCCAAAGCTTTTCTGTTTTGTGAACTGATTTTATACCTAAAGATTTTGTATTAAAAATATTTTTTTCAATGAATTAGATATTAAACAGAATATACAGTTGATCTTGTGACAAATCTGTTTTTTCTTTACATTTTGGCTCTGCACCCACGTATGTCCTTTGTTATTGCAATTGTACGATATAACCATCATTAATATCATTTTTAAGTATCTAGTTTTTGACAGAAACATTCCCACCACCCTAAATAACTATGCTTAAAAAAGGGCTTCTTTTAATGTCTAAGTATAAATTATATAAACTTAACCGTGGAATGAAGGGCATTTGGCTCTTCATGCCTGTGGGGTGTTAGAACCCCACTAGAGCTCTCTGCCTGTGTGTACATATGTGTATAAAAAAAAGGTAGAATCTGAATATAAGATTTTGTTAGGTGAAAGAAAACCAGCAGTTGCTTGACATGTCATGTCCCAAACTATATACTGTAACTAAGATATTATTTTCTAACAGAAATCCATCAAATTTGTTCTTGAAAGAAACAACACTATCTGCTTCCACCGTCTCCCTAGGGAGCTTGTTCCATTCCATATTCTGAATATTAATGGCTTCAAAAAATGACATTGTTTTTAAGGCATATCACTCTATTGTGTTTTTTAAAATTAATTAGAAGAAATTATACTAAAAAACTTGTTCTTAGTATTATTGATGAAGCTGGCTCGGAATCTACTGGGCATTTTTTGGAAATGAAATCTGACTTAAGATGGAATATCAATTTTATTAAACTTAAATTTCAAATTGACAAAAGGATAGTACCTTTGACCTTGAATAGTTCTTCAAATTTACCATCCATTCCATATACATTTCGTATAGCAAGAAAGGTGGCGGTAATTGCCTAATCGGCAAAGGCTGGTTATCTCTGGCTGAAGCAGTGTTGCTATTTATGCTCTGGAACTGCAATTCTTCTCATTAATACCTTAACTCTTAAGACTCCACTAAAGGCTTTTTCTGTTGAATGAGCTGGGAAGCTAGAAAATCCTATGCTGGGGCAATAGAAATATACCAGCTTGTTTTAGATATCAGCAATCAAATGCAACAAAGAAATAGATCTTTTTGGATTTTCATACCTAAACTGTAGGATCTTCACTATCAAGTTAAATAGTTTCTATTCTATTAGCTAAAACAAATGAAATCTATATTGGTTGAAAGATTTGGCTCCAAAACCGGGATGAAACAATTCTATGTTCTGTTTTGCTCCAATGTAGAATCTGAAGTATAATCTGCACTGTAAAGTATGTATTTTCTACAGACATAGTTCCCGGCACGGCGAAACCTTGGGCAAGTTTCCTTACTCCACACGCCTGATAATAATCCCTTAAGAAAAACAACAATAATAAATTGGTCACTTCAATCCACAACTGTTTGTGGGACACTGCTGTGCGCAATTGGCTGCTGCGTTTCACCCACAAATATACGGTCAATTCACTTTACAGTCTATTCTGTGAAGCATTTTGAGATGTCTAGAAGACGTGAAAAGCGCTATATCAAATGCAAGGATTATTATTATAGTTTTTCTATAAAATATACAAATTATGTTTTTAATGCCTTCTCCTGAATGAATCAATAATACGTATGCAGCATTCATGAATTCTGAAGCCATGCAGCATAATCTGAAGTGGTGGCTGGAACGATTTCCCATTCTCCAATTTTATATGATTTTCTTCTCTGTGGAATTTATTATCCACTCTGTGTAAACCATGTGTAAACTCAGATGTATTATATGCTATGTGTAAACGTGTCTGCTCAAAGGGATTTACATAATTTAATTATGTACATAATAAATGAAAATGATTGGTTGTTAATATAATTAAAAACTGGCATGATAGCTTTGACATAATTAGACACTTGTTATGTTTGTGCAGAAGTGTTTACATATGATACATAATGTAATTTACTTTATTTACACATGGTTTACACAAGGTGAATAATTGACCCCAGTTATGCACATATTGGTCACTGTTGAGAAATAACAATATATTATTACATCACTAAAATGCATTGCTCAAAGACATTTGGTTTTGGTGACCAATTTGTTTGCAGATTTACATGTTCCATTGTTGCCTTAAATAACCTAAACCTAAAAATAATACATTTCTTTCTTTATGTACTGAAGAGATTTTCATTAACTAAGCAAATTGCACGTTTCTGTTTTGTTTTTATTTTAGGCCGCCTGGAATTAAAAGAAGACAATATTGAGTGTCTCTTATCCACAGCTTGCCTCCTACAACTCTCACAGGTCGTGGAGGCATGCTGTGGGTTCCTGATGAAGCAGCTTCATTCTTCCAACTGCCTTGGAATTCGCTCATTTGCTGATGCGCAGGGCTGCACTGACCTGCATAAAGTGGCTCACAACTACACCATGGTATGTATATGATGACAGGGAAGTGATTGCTGCTTCACCATACATTAGTATGTATTCGGTGAATCATGAAGAAAAATGAAGAAGCCATCTGTAAAAACACGTTAACCCTCAGATTGTATACAAATGAGAATAAATAAATCTGTCAGAATTCTCAATGACAGTGCTTTGATACAGTATAATCATTTGCAACACTATGTTGATTTTTTTCATACAGGGAACATGCTGCATAACATTCATAAATTAAAATGTATTTCTAGAAAGCTGTTTTCACAATTAGCTTTACCTGATAGGCACCTTTAGCAGCACATCTCGACCATGGTATTATTTGGATCCCAAGAGTGACCTGAAATGATGTTCACTAGAAATCTTTAATAGGTAGTCAGAACTATTCCTTTTGAATGTGGTTGCTAGAGCAACTGTTTGGATTTGGCAATTCATGTTAATTTCAGGTACAATTAATCTCACAGTAATTAAACATTTTATACAATAGTGTGTATGTGTGTATGTGTGTGTATGTGTGTGTGTATGTGTGTATGGATGTATTTTATTTTACTGTTAAATCTTTTTGTACTTTCGCAGGCAGGAAAGATTCTGAAACGTAATCCAGTTTATTTTCTAATGGTGTTTTCCTATAATGTTTTATAAAATTTAAACCAAAGAAAGGTTTAAAATGCCTTTTATTTTAGTAGCACTTGTTGAGCTCATTGCCATTCTTTATCATTGAGGAACTGAAAAAAAATTGGAGCAATAATTTAAAGATTGTTAGAATGTGTATGAAACCAAAGTAATTTTGTTTATGACATTTTAGATAAATAATGATGTATTAGTAACAGGTTATACATTTTCAAAAAAGGTTATATCACAGGTCACATATTGAGCAAATATATATTTATGTTTGGTTCAAACATATGAGTGTATTGGCTATGTTCAGAGGATATAAACAAAGGTGCTTAAACTTTATGTGGGTTTTGCTGACTAGGTGAGGTATTACAAGTTACTGACATTGTATGTTTACTGAAAATGTCACTGAATGAAATATTGTAATTTATTGTAGTTCACACTTTTGTCAGCTGGGGTCACTAAGAAAGGTATTTTAAGATTGTAAAGATACTTTTAAAAGAACAGAAAGGTTACAAAGACTTTTTAGTGGTAGAGTGAATTTATTTGTAGATATTTGGAAGAGTTTTGCCATTATTTTGTTTCACTTTTATGCATTTCTAAAACAAAATGTGAATTAGAATTGGTGGCAAAACCACTATCAACAGTATGGAGATTAATTCTTCATTAAACATCTAAGCACAAATAAACTTGGTCTCCTAAATCCCAATGCTCTGTGACTGATATTTTTATTGTAAAATATTGTATATAGAGAATTCTAAGGATTCAGTACATTATTCACACTAATCAGAAACAAATGATATATGTTCCTCACTTCCAAAAGAGCTAGTGCTGAAAATAATACCTTCCCTGAAATGCAGAGATTGAATTCAGTTTATAGGAGAGGCAGGATAGAATACGGTGCTTCATTTGCGTCAGATTCAATTTACCGGCTAATTCCTCCCATTGCCCAGTATAATACTTCTCACCGCTGATTAATCTTAGTGATTACAAATCTGATATAAGCCTTTATGCATCTGAGCACAGTCCATTACAGTCTCATTTAAACATATACGCTTTGATTCAGTTTTGTTTGTGCTTTGTTGACCACACTCACAAACAGCAAAAGATTGATGGATACACAGAAGCTGTTCAAATGGAAAATAAGTAGTCAACAAATGCAACAGAGCAGTATGCCATTTCTGTTTTCTTTTGACAGTTCTTTGCTAGCCTACTGTTTCCTCTAAATAAACAAAAACAAAGTCTAAAGTTTGTAGACGAGGTAATTTCTGTGTGAGAGATATAGTAAAGGAATAAAAACAATTCTGTAGAGAAAATTGGGTTTTCTGTACCACTATTAAAAGGTAGCATGAAATACAGTAAATGTGATTAATTTATTTTCATAGCTGTGGTATTAAAAATAAAATGTTTGCCTTTAGATAGTAATACATAGAATATTACTGGAGAATTGAAGTATTCAGGAACCTGCAGACTTCAAAGCTTTAGCAAGCTGGATTGTTGACGTTCTCTTGTAGCTAACGTTGAAGTTTTGGATTCTAGGCTGAGGTTTTTCAATGATAATAATAATCCTTGCATTTGATATGGAGCCTTATAATAATAATAATCCTTGCATTTGAAATGAGGCAGCCAATTGCGCACAGCAGTGTCCCACAAACAGTCGCGGATTGAGTGACCACATTTTTTTAGATAGATTATTATAGGATGAGTTAACTAAATGGATATCCCGTAAAGCAACATCTGAAAGACTGCTCCAATTTGCAACAGTTGACCTCTCTGTGGTACTGCAAGATAGTCACTCCCAAATATTTTCTGGCAGCCATAGGCACGGTTTTTCTGAATTTGGGGAGGATTGTTTCAAAACATGTTTTATTAAGTTTCTTTAAATAAGGAATGGAAGATGTTTGAGAATGTTACAATTTTTGACTCCTTAAGTCTTAGAATTTCAAGTTACAAGGGTTTGGAAAAGAGCTAAAAGAACTTTCAAGTTTATGAGGATTGACTGGGCTGATCCAGGCAAATCCTTTAATTCCTTGTTTCTCTGAAATATAGTCCTTTGTTTCTCCAGAAATATATAGAGTTGTCACTTCAGACAGTCTACTCAATGACCTTTCCTAGTTGCTTATTCCAAACATCTATTACCGTTTAAGTAGAAAGGTTCTTACAGATTGAAAGTAAACAATGGCCACATTTGAAGCTGTAGCCCTCCTGAAAACTGAATCGAGATTTCAAGGAAATTTTTTTTTCAAAAAGCCAGTTTTTCACATTACACATTTTCTGTGAATATAATCTTTGTTTTTCTCTTTATATTCTTGAACAAGAATTGTCTAATATTCCCAAATATTATGAAGTGTACACTTGTCGCTGTTGCTGCTTCATCTCGTTACCATGTTTTACTCTTTAAAACTGCTAGTTAAGGATATCCTAGGAGCAAACATTCAAAGTTCATCTTAGTGTAACATTATCCATTTAATCAATTGCAATGGTAGGCATTAGGCGATGCATCCCACATGCAATGTCATGCCTGTAATAAAGCATATTAATTATAATAATATAATAATATTCTTTGCATTTCATATAGCACACTATCACATTATTGAGGTGTCTCAAAGTGCTTTACAGGATTTTATTGTGAAGTGTAGTGATCATGTATTTCTCGGCAAACACAGCAGCGAAAAAGGGCACAGAAGTGTCCCACAAAACAGCCATGGAATGAGTGACCAATTTTTGGGGAGAGAATGTTGGCCAGGACACCAGGAGAAACTCCCTTCTCTTTTTGAATAGCTCCATCTTTAATGGTGGCAGATGGGCCATCCTTTGGATGAGACCTTGGGTTAACGTCTCACCCATAGGATGCCACTTCTAACAATGCAGCACCCTCAGCACTGCATTACAATAATAGTAACACTGGAATTTGATATAATGCCTTATTGCAGCGTCGAGATATGTTAAGGTGCTTCACCATGAAGTGCAGTAACTGTATTTGTAGACAAATGCAGGAGCCAATTTGTGCCAACAATGTAATGGTTCCATTTACAAATTTGCTTTCTGCTGTTAAAATCGTTCATTAGCACAGCCCTATTTACAATTTTTAAAATCCTATTGGAAGATGTGACTGGAGCACGAGATTTTTCTTTACTAAAATTGTAATGTTGTTCAGCATAGCAAGCTTTGTTGGGAATGATTTTACACTTCACAAGTACAATATTTTACTTTTATGAGAAACACTATGTTGTTAACCTGAGGGGAAAATAAAGAGTGAGACTTATTTTATTCTTTTGTTTCAGGAGCACTTCATGGAGGTGATAAGAAACCAGGAGTTTCTGCTACTGCCGGCCAATGAGGTAGTTAAGCTGTTGGCCAGTGATGATATGAATATACCAAATGAAGAGACCATACTGAATGCGTTGCTTAGCTGGGTTCGGCATGATACAGAAAGCAGACAGAAAGAACTTAGCAAATTGCTAGCTTACATCAGACTTCCGTTACTTTGTCCTCAGGTACATTACATTATAGCTTTAAAATAATGTCTTGGTGATTCCCATGAAGTCATTGTATTCATCAAACATACAGGGCAACCCCATTATAACATGGATCTCAATATCCACATTATACACAAAATGTGAAAAATGGCTGACTTTCAGGTCATTGTAAAAATGGTCATTCGATTTCTGCAGGCATCACTTCCTGAACGCTATGAGCCTTAGTTTCTTGTTCCAACACACAGAACCTTATGGAATCTTGGTGTTTTAGTCAATCGTTAGCTATCCTGTAAACCTTTCATCCAGGCTCTGACTAAGTCCACTTTTTTCCCCGTCTCTTCCATTTCATCAACTACTAGTACTACTTGATCCACAAGCCTATCCTTGCCCAGCTCTACTGGTGGTTCAACTTTAAGATCTCCATCCTTACCATCAAATACCATGATCATATCGCATCTTACATCTGTAATGTACCGCAAATGTATTCCTCCGGCTGCTCTACAAACTCTGGCCTGCTCCATGTCCTCTTTCCCACAATTGGGTGACATTTCAGCCACTTTGCCCTTGCTCTCTGAAATTCTATTTTGACATCGCTCTTTTTGCTTCCAAAACCTGTCTAAAGACCCATCTCTATGACTGCGTCTTCAGCCACCTAACCTCTCCTACACCTGCTCTGTCTTTCTAATTTGATTTCGGACATTCCCTACATGAAAGGAACTATTTGAGTACAATTTGTTGGTGTTTGCAGGAAGCACCACTGTCATCACTTACTTTGCAGAATGACATCAGGGATACATCTTGTACATAAACACACAGGAAGTTATATCTGTGGCATCCTGGTGACCTGGAATTTCATGATTTTTATTGCCAGAATCCAGCTAGTTGGCCCTGGAAGTCGGCTTCTGGTCAGCACAGGTCCACTGTAGACCCATGCTTTAAGTGAACCTGTACTCAACCTTGGGATATTATAACAGGATTACCCTATACTTGACAGACTCTCCAATACAGTGCTATATTGTCAGAGGTGCTGTCCTTCAGATGAGACATTAAACCTGCCCATTCAGGATTATATTACATAGAATTACATAGAATACACAGCACAGAAACAGGCCATTCAGCCCAACTGGTCTATGCTAGTGTTTATTCTCCACATGAGCTGCCTCCTGCCCTTCCTCAACTTATCAGCATAACCTTCTATTCCTTTCTCCCTCATGTACTTATCTAGCTTCCCCTTAAATGCATCTATGCTATTCGCCTCAACTACTCCTTAAGGTAGTTGTTCCACATTCCCACCACTCTCTGTGTAAGGAAGTTTCTTCTGACTTCTCTATTTGATTTATTGGTGACTATTTTATATTGATGGGCCCTGGTTTTAGTCTCTCCCATAGGTGGAAACATCTTCTCTACATCTACTCTATCAAAACCTTTCATAATTTTAAAGACCTCTATTAGGTCACCCCTCACCCTTCTCTTTTCAAGAGAAAAGAATCCAAGCTTGTTCAGCCTTTCCTGATAGGTATAACCTTGCAGTTCCAGTATCATCCTTGTAAATCTCCTTTGCACCTTCTCCAGTGCCTCTATATCCTTTCTATAATATGGGGACCAGAACTGTACACAGTACTCCCAAATGTGGTCTAACCAAGATATACAAGTTTAGCATAACTTCCCTGCTTTTCATTTCTATCCCTCTAGAAATGAACCCCAATGCTTGGTTTGCTTTATTTTATGGCCTTATTAACCTTTTTATGGCCTTAAAGATCCCTTGGTACTATTCGAAAAGAGAAGGGAGTTTCTTCCAATGTCCTAACCAACAATCTCCCCCCAAAAAATTGGTCATTCACTTCTTGGTTATTTGTGTGCCATTGTTGTGTGTAAATTGGCTGCTGCATTTGCCTACACAATATACAGTCATAGTAAATACACTTCAATAATTGTGGGAAGCGCTTTGAGATATTAGTTGTTAGTTTTGAAAAAAAAACTGGTTGATAAAAATCTCAGAAATATTTTGTGCACCGCAATTGATGTACTTCAACACAGCTTATGACTTTTGAAAAACAAATATTCTTTAAGTACATTTTGTAACTGTGACGTCCCTTTAAGTAGTTTCACTGCATCGTGAAAAGATTCGTCTTAAGCTCAGACAATTCTTAAGCAATTCTCCATTCTTTTTCCAAAGGTAACACGGGTACGTAGCAACATTTTTCAGATGGAAATGCCATACAATTTGCCTAATGATTCTGTATCTCTCCGCGTTTGTCTGTGTAACTTATGCCTTCCTGGGTGCAGTCCCAGTGCAATAATAATAATCCCTCCAAAACCAAAAACAATAATAAATTGGTCGTTTTCAATCTACGACTGTTTGTGGGACATTGCTGTGCGCAATTGGTTGCCGCGTTCGCCCACAAATATACAGTCAATTCACTTTACAGTGTGTTCTGTGAAGCGCTTTGGGACGTCCTCCCGACGTGAAAAGCGCTATATCAAATGCAAGGATTATTAGTATTATTAACAGTAGATCATGCAATAAATTCTTCTTGTTTAGATAGTGAACATTGGCAAGTTATTTGCTTAATTGGGTCCTCAGCCAGTGTTCACACGCGTCTATCACTGGATAGCAAGAGTGGAATTTCTGTCTGATCTATTTTTCCTCTTACTTAACCTGAGGGCACTGAAATTAATTGTTATACTACCCTGTATTGTCACCTTATGAAGATCAAAAAGATGCATTGTTTTATCAGGGTGTACAGTGTTATAGTCAGGCTGCAGCTTGAATACTCCATACCATTCTGGTCACCAGGAGCTATGAGCAACGATTCGACAAACTAGGGTTCATCTAGGTCTTGAGAGAATTCGACTCAGACCTCATAGAAGTGTACAACATTTTAAATGTAATCAAAAAAAAAACAATACTTTAGGACGTACCACGACAATAGAACAAGAGGACACAGGTTTAGAGCTGGAAAGGGCAATTTCAGGACAGATAATAGGAATTTTTTCTTAATGTAGAGCATAATCAATGATTGGAACAGATTACCTGGAAAGCTGGTAGAGGCCAGGACACTAAACTCATTTAAAAAGTAGCTTGATGCAGTGATGGGGGTACGGTAGGGTGGGTGTTCTAGAGGGATGGGGGAAGATAGGGCTTCTTCATCCAGTCCAATCTTGTAACCAGACCTTGTAAAAACTGGCTAATGTTAAATTGCTTCCTTAAAGCTGCTTAGTTCAATACAGGAATGAAACCCGAATAATTTGCTTACTCATTTCTGCGATCTAATGAGAATTTTTTTTAAAACAAAATGTTGAGAGAGGTAGCATTTGAAGTTTGAATTGTCATATCGCAAACATGTTGCCATGGTTTCACATGTATAGCTATTGGAATTGAAAGTATCCTAAGGCACTCGGTTAAGCTATATCCAGCATAATTCTGCTCTGCAATTATTATGATCAACAAGTAAGGTTGTTTCAATTAATCATTTTTGTTATTAAATATCTTACCAATTATTGTAGTAAAAGTCTGTATTAATTAACTGTAAAGCACAAGATACCGATTACTGCATGGTCTTGCAAATCATAGTTCATATTACACATTTTAAATTACACAATAAATTAGTTTTTTTGGTTAACGTAAATAACGTACCTTAACTTGTTCCATTAGTTAATTTGTGAACAATTTGTCTCCAACAGAATAATGGTTAGGTTCATTCCCCAGCTATCCTTTGTACCCCACATCCAGTCTCTGGCCAGGTTCACTTTCCTCCACCACTGCCACATTGCCCGCTTCTGTCCGCACCTCACTCAAAAGCTGCCAAAACCCTCATCCATGCCTTGACTACTCAAATGCCCTCTTCGCTGGATTCCCCTGCTCCACTGTTCACAAAATTCAACTAATTCAAAACTCCGCCACCCACATTCTCACCCACACTAAACTCTGTACCTCCATTACTCCAGTCCTTGTTAAACTCCATTGGCTCCCTGTCATAAAGCAGATCGATTTCAAAATCCTCATTCTCGTATTTAAATCCCTTCAGGCGCTGGAAGACCCCCTTTCTCTCCAACCTACTCTCTCCCTACACTACTACCTAGCAAAAATGATTCAGGTGTCAGAATTTGCAAAGGAATAGGAGCTGGAGTTTACCCACGAGGTGGGGCTAGTCTCTCTTGATTACTGTTGGAAAATTTATACCAAGTTCCCCAGTGCTACCCGATATTTCAACAACTGCAGATTAAAGACGTTCATTGGTAATAATAATAATCCTTGCATTTGATATAGCACCTTATTAAGTCTTTGAGACATCTCAAAGCGCTTCACAGAATATACGATAAAGTGAATTGACTGTATATTTTGTGGGCGAAATGCGGCAGCCAGTTGCGCACAGCAGTGACCCACACACAGTAATGGATTGAGTAACCAAATTTTTTATTAAGAGATTATTACCCTCAGAAAAGCGGTCTGCCAATCAACTAATAACCGGGTTCCTACTTACTGCTAGGTAAACAGAGGCATGTGGAGTAAGGAAACTTGTCAAATATTTTGCCCTGCTCAGGAATCGAGCCCAGGTCCTTTTGCTTGTGAGACGAGTGCTCAAATCACTAAGCTACAGGGCTTCACTCAGTAACAACAAAGCTAAACAAAGTTTTCTACATTTTTCATTGCTTTCTACCTTTATCACCGAATATTAGGCAGATATGGAAAATAGAAACATAGGAACGGGAGTAGGCCATTCAGCGCTTCAAGCCTGTTCCGCTATTTAATTAGATTATGGCTGATCTGTACCTCAACTAATCCTTTCAATCCCAATTTCCCGTTTTCTCCCTTAATACCCTGACCTACCAAAAATCTATCAACCTCACTCTTGAAGCTGTGGATGGATCCAGCATCCACTGTCTTTTGGGGGAGAGAATTCCAGATTTCTACCACCCTTTGAGTGAAAAAATGCTTCCTGGTTTCATTTTTAAATGGCTTGGTTCTAATTTGAAGACTGTGCCCCCTTGTTTTGTATTCCCCCACCAGATGAAAT